TTGTTTCTCTCTCTCTCTCTCTCTCTCTCTCTCTCACACACACACACACACACACACACACACACCACAGTCTCTCGCGTGACACACACACACCTGGTCTGGGATGAACTGATCCAGTGACCACCAGAGCAGCGGGCGGCGAGAAAATGAAGAAAGCAGCAGCCCAGGGACATCCACTCGCCCTCTCTTTCGAAGCACCATGGGGGGGTGGCGAGTGGTGGGTGCAGTGGGCACTGTGGTGGGGCTACGGGAAGCAGTCTCAGGAGTTCCTGTACTCCCTTTCAGGGCACCTCCGCCGCCCCTTTCAACCCCAGCCAGCAGAGAAAGTGAATGGCTATGGCATGCTCTGGCTGCTGCCATCACTGCATCACTCAGTGCAGTGCTTTGGACTGGCCCAGAAACGGCGCCCCACCTTGTCCTCCTCTTGCCTGGCGGCTGGCTTCTTGATGCAAGCAGAGGCTGCTGGTTGGAGCGAGGGGAATCACAGTGCTGGGCTCTCGCGGCGGCGAGTGTCAAGGGCATAGCTAGAATTGGAATAAAAGGCTGTGCGGCTGAGGTGGAAAGAACTGAGGCAACACCCAGTAGCTTGGATGAGAAGATGAGAGCAAGGCCGTGGCCACTCTCGTGTCAAGAAGCTTTGGTCCTTTCTGCCAGAGATGTGCAGCCTCTTCCAGTTCTAGCCCATGGCACTCGCTGCCGCATGAGCCCAGCACTGCAGTTCCCCTCGCTCCAACTAGCAGCCTCTGCTTGTGTCAAGAAGCTGGCAGCCAGGTGGAAGAGGCCCAGGATGGGCACAAGGTGAGGGAGGCCCGGGGACGGCTGGGCGAAGCCTGGGGATGGCTGGGTGAGGCCCAGGGACCATTGGGAGAGGCCCGGGGTGGCTGGGCAAGGCCCCGGGAGGCTTGCAGATGGCCCAGTGAGGCCTGGGGACAGCTGGGCGAGGCCTGGGGATGGCTGAGCGAGACCTGGGGAGGGAAACAGGATTCAACCGGGCTGCTTCTCTGCTGCCCATGAGCTGTTTCCTGAAGGGAGAGGGACTTGCAAACTTTTTCCTGTGCCGGGAAAGACTCTCTTGCTCTCCCAGCTGGAGCAGCGAGAAGCATCCACTGACCTGGCCAAAGCCAACAGGAGCCTCACCATGTGTTCCCCAGTGGAAGGTAAGTGGTGGTAGAGGGGGAAAGGTGACTGGGGCTTGCACTCACCCAGGGAGATCATCAGATCAGGCAGGGCTGCAGCGAAAGGCAGGTAGCAATGGCTGGCCTGGCAGGCAGGCTGCAGACATGTTGTATATATGCATGATGTTGTGCATGTGCAATAGAGACTAACTGAGCAGGGAGTGGAGAAGTGGGCAGAGAGAGCCGGCGCCAGCCAGACGCCCAATTTACTGGTTCTCCGAACTACGGAGAATCATAACTGGTAGAATACCACCCTTGATTCTATCTATCTATCTATCTATCTATCTATCTATCTATCTATCTATCTATCTATCTATCTATCTATCTATCTATCTATCTATCCATCCATCCATCCATCCATCTATCTTTGCAATATTTAATTATTATAATTATCCCTGCTAGAAAAAAGTGCTAATAGAAGAAGGAAGACTAACTTAAATGTAGGTTGGACTGATTACAAGAAGGAATATTCCTTCTAACATTGTCAATATCTTCATTTCAATGAAAGGTTTCTCCTATTTTAGAAGCCTTGGCTATTAACTATTTCAATCTGTTACCCAGAATAGTGGAGAAAATTAATACCTCAATATTTTCAAATGCTTGGAATTCTTGCTTGACCTTTTTCAATCATGCAAATAAAAACACAGGACATTAATTTTTTTAGGAAAAGCACAGTATATTTAACTCATCTCATAACAGAAAATTGTATTTTGTCAGGGAATCAGATGCTTTCTTGTAATCAAGCCAGCCTACATTCAAGTTAGTCTTCCTTCTCCCACAGTTTTCCAAATTCATCTTGTCAATTAGGAATTGATCTTGTTCCTGTGCTGTTTGAGAAGTTACCTTTCTGCTCAGATGGAAAGAAGCATTCACCTAAATGCTGTAAGAGTACATCCAGTTCTCAATTTGAATATTGTTTGTAAACAGAAAATCGGCCTGTAGTTACCAGATACTACCCCTTTTGTTGAATCTTTCACTATTAGATATGTTTTGCCAGATGTTAACCAACTTTTAATTTCACCCTTTATTATTTTTACATATACAACATGTAATCATTGCATGTTGATATTTGAGCATAGTATGTGTGCAAATCCCAACAGTGTGTGGCCTTTTGTAATTGACAGATTGGATGTTTGTCAATGTGCAGATTTTCTAAGTGCCATTGAAGCCTTTCGTTTATGCCATAATCTTTTGACTTTTTAAAATCTTTCTTATCTAATGTTAACTTTGATTTTCAGATCTGGATACTTTGTGAACTTCTCCACTTCTTTTATTTTAATATTCTTTTTATTCTACTACATTGTGACATGATTGTAATTATTATTATATCATTATAATTAAAGCCCCGAAGAAATGAAAAGGTTTAATACAAGTCTTTAAAAACAAATAATTAACTTCCTTACCATATTCCTTGGATTAGACATAAGAAAATGCTGAGCAACATGTGCTGGCAACAGATTGAAAAGTATTCGTTTGTTATCTAGTTTCACTCTCTCCATATCATCTCTTTCCTCTTCTGCCTGTCAAGAGAAAAAAAATGTTCTAAACCAAGGGTCTTCAAACTTGGCAAGTTTAAGATTGTGGACTTCAACTCCCAGAATTCCTGAGTTAACATGACTGGAGGAAAATTTTTGGGAATTGAAGTCCACAAGTCCTAAAGCTGTCAAGTTTGAAGATCCTTATTCTAAACAACAAAGGCTGTAAATATCAATAGATGTGGTAAGGATATAGGCCTTTTAGATAGCAACCACCAATTTGAATTGCATCTGGAAGCAAAGTGTTAACTTATGCAGCAAAGGTTCAAATGAGCCATACAGAGGCATGCCCATCAGTGCCCGCACTACTGCATTCTGGTCCAGCTGAACCTTCCAGATGGTCTTCCACAGCAGCTACATGTAAAGCCACTGCAGTAGTCAAGCTATGAAGTGACCAGGAAATGAGCGACTGTCTGAAGAATCTGTCAATCTAGAAAAATGCAGAACTGACATATCAGATGACTTTTCCTGACCATAGATGTCATTTGCTCATTAAGCAGAATTTGTGAATCAAAGAAGACGCCCAAATTGTGCACCATCCTTGAATGAAGAAGTATAACTTCATTTAAGGTTGAAATTGGAATATCCACAGATAGTCCAGGATCCACTTTGTCAGATCTACAGATATTCTAAGTTTGACTTAGGATGAAATTACACTGGTGTATCCAAGGATAGTAGGATACCATACCTGATGGTTGTGGGACTGAGAATCAAGATGTACAAGATGCACCACCACCTCTAGGATGCATCACAGGTCATCGACAACCATACCTGTCTCAGTATTAAAAACTGGCCTGTTTAAAAGGGTCTAGATAATCTATCTCCTCCAGAATTGTCCTCAGCTGCAGACTGACCACCTTCAAACAATTTTCCACAAGAAGGGAAAGTTGGAGAATGGGTAATAGTTATCAAACATCATTTGGTCCAAAGACAGCTTCTTATGGAGGGGGTGCACCTTTCAAAACTGTGGGCACCACTTTCTCTCTCAAAAAGGCCAACACTATTGCATGGATCCAACTGCAGGTCACTTCTTTGGCCACTTTCACAACTCATGAGGGACCTGGATCCAATAAACAAGTGGTTAGGTCAGCAGGGACACCTGTTCACTTTCTTAGGAGTCACTGGTTCAAACATATCCCAGATCAGACCACCAAGACCTATCCCAGGTATTTCATCCTCCTTCCCAATCAAAGTCTAACACGGAACAAATCTGGGTGAATTTATCCATTAGATTCCCTGAATAATGTTCAAAATAGCCGAGGAGATGTTCTATATTCCCTACTCAATAGGGAATGGGTCATTCTGAAAGGGCTCCTTGAAAGTTATCAGGAGAAATACTGACATTTCATTGCCCTTATTACCACGAGATATTCCTTAATATGGGGCTACTGCCCATGTTCAATCACTTTGAGTCTTCTAGTGTTATTCAAGATATCTCTTTTGATGCTTCATTTCCAAGAACTCCTAAATAAACTGAGATACATCCTGTGATTAGTATGTAGAGAGAGGCCATATAGAAGCAATATGATCCAAAGATGCAGCCACATACCCATTACAGCCAGTGACTAGAGCCATAGCTGAACTGTCCACCAGATTCCAAGAACTTCCAGTTCTCTCTAGAACTCCACTGGTTCATTAATTGAACAATTGAATGGGTCTTGTCTCTTCCTGCAGGGAATACCAGTGAGCTGAAGGCAACTAGGTAATTATCTGTCTACTGAAATGGACTGTTGTTAATATCCTCCACTGGCAGATTGTATCCCAACTGGCCTGAGACAATCAGATATAACCTGTGTCCTCCATAGGTATTTGGCCATAAATGACTTGGGACAGATTGCTGGTTGCCAGGAAAGCCATCAGTTCTTGAGCTGCCCTATAATACTGGCAACCTGAAATCTCTAGAATGAACAACTTTGGGGATTCTATTGCAACCGACCATTGAAAGTTAGCAGTTCAAGCAGCAAGAAGCATCGCAGCAACCTGTTCCCTTGAGTCCAAATGACCTCATAACTGGTTACCCGTGAAGCCCCTGACAGCTGTAATGATTTTCAGATGACATGAGCCACTCTTACTTCCTTGTCTCCTGGATTCTTGGCTTGTGCAAAACACAAAACCTGTGGGACATTTTTGTGAGAGAGGAACTCCGCCCTGAGCACAACCAGATCTTAATAAGACATGCCACATTAGCACATGATAAGATCTTGCCACATACCCACTTAGTATTCAAAAGCAACAGCTGAAGCCCAAGGCTACCAAGGAATCTGTTGCCTGGCTCAGAGGGTAGAAACTGAAAGCAGGGCAAGAGAATTGCTTTCAAACAACTATGTATTTCTCTGTCCATCACTGTCCCAGTGGTCCAGGCTGCCCTTCAGCACCCCTAGTCTACTCTTACCCCTCACATCCTGCTCCTAGGTCAAAACATATATAATCAATACTGCCCTATCATCAAACCCAAATTAGATCTCAGAGAAGCATACTATTGAGTCCGCATCAGTGAAAGAGATGAATGGAAAACAGTGTTGGGATCTTCCAATTCAAAGTTATGCCTTTTGGATTGCCGGGGGGAGGGGGGAGCTGGCGGTGTTCATGCAGTTAATAAACAAGGTGCAACACGAACATTTGTATTAGAGGGTTCTTGCCTACTTGGGAGACATTCTCATCTACACTGAGATGTTGGAAGACCACATACCCCTAGTCTGTATTGATTCAGAGGGAGAGGCCGAGCAGCTGACAGGGAGTGGGATTGTGGCTCCGTTGGCTGTGGAAGAAATTGGGGAAGGGCAAAGGCCAGCTGGGCAGAGCAGGGGAGAGGTAGAGCAAGGGAGAGGGAATTCAGAGGAAGACCCAGGCCCACCTCCTCTTTATACTAGAGCACGCAGGGAGGAACAGAGAAGGGAGCAATGTGAGTTGCATGGCTTATGGGGGAGGAAAGAGCCCTGATTCCCTTCATTAGCTGAAGCTGGGAACAGAGTGTTTAAAAAGGGAAGATGCGCACAGCAAAGTTGTTAGGAGCAAATCATGAATTATCTGGTATCGTCGAGGCTTATCTGGGTTCCTGGCATCTTCCCAACTGTGTGTGTTTTGCTGGGCTTTCAAGTCTGCAATTCCTTCTGCTACCCTGTCAAGTTAATTACTGCAGCATGGTTTGTGTGGATTTTTATTTACAGTTTGTATGTACTTTGTTTTCAGACTGAATTTCCTCCATTTAAAGACTGTTCTTGGGAGAGTTTTTCCTTCATCTGAACGTAACCTGGACATTGGGGGCAAAATTGGAGGTACTAAAGGAACACTTCTTGTTTATTTGACTGTGTTGCCTTTATGCCATGCCCCGGGTCATCACATTTTGGTTCCCAATGGCTTTCACCTGTTGTTAGTGTGTAATGCCCCGTCAACTTTATGGCCCCTTGGAACCACTCAGAGAATTGGTTCAGGATGTCCCAATAGGCAGTTACTTTGCTAATTTGCTTGTCCAGGCTGGTTCTAAAAAAAATGAACTAGCGTCCACTCAGGCAAAAGAGGTATCTTCCCACTGATTCTCCTGAATTCATGGATGTGTTCCTTGATGGGTTGCCCTCCCTGCTTTAGGTTGCTGAGCTCATCTTCCGCATATGGGTCCTCCTCTGCCTCCTCAAATCTGGCTTCTAGTAGTTGTAGAAAGTTATCTACATCATGTAGTTTGGGGCTGTTATCTTGTGGAGGAATGCTAGCCATCCTCTTGTTTCTCCCTCTAGCCCCTCAGAAATGGCATTCACCCATGGCTCCAGGGGAGGGGTAGAGATGTCCATAGCATTCCAGGTGGATCTCAGCTGACTCAAGAAATAAAGCTAGCTGGTCTGGGTCTCCATCAAATTTCCTCCTGAATCGGGGTGGTTTGTTGAGCTCTGCTCCTCCCTCTCCCTGTTGCCCTTTGTAAGCCTGTGTTTGAGATGTCTGACCTTCATCCTCAGCTCTAGTTTGCAGAGGAGGAGGGTGCTGCCTGCTGTCTGGGGGAGGCACTGGCTGTTGCTGTGGGCTCTTTTTTCTTCTGTTCGGTAGAGAGGCAGGGCTGTGGTCTCACCTGCTTCTCCCCCCTTCAAAGGGCTCTGTAAAAGTTTCCCTCTGTTTTGGGCAGCAGGATGGGCCGTCATCCCGAATGGTGGCCCATTCAAATTCTTCCCTCAGCTGTTCTATGGATCTCCCCAGGGATTCTGTTAGGGATTTATCTGGTTTTCTCCCTTCTAATGGAGCAGATTTCTCCTCTTCAGAATTCAAGAGGGGACTGTCCTCCTTCTGTAATTATACTATCAGCTTCTGTTTGCTTCTGGCTGGAGACCAAGACTGTTTCTGCTTGGGTCATGTGGAGCAAGCTCTCTCCTGATAGTCATCCCTCTGCCATGGCTGCCTGAGTTTCTCTCCACGTACCTGAAATGTCGGGGAGTGATGGAAGAGGCCAGGACCCAGTAATGTTAATTAAGAGAATTGGCTAGCTGTCAGGTTTCCAGCAATCTCCCTAATTAAATCATGAGCCTTGAGCCAAACTTCAATAAGCTTCAAAAAATTCATTAGGAGCGACATATTGGCATGACCTGTATGTAGCCGATTCTGAGACATGTAATTCACTGTCACCCTTGACCCTGATTTTCTCCCACCCCTCTGGGTGTATTCATATTCTCCAACAAAACACATTCATAGCCAAGAGTCATCAATCATGTTCTCCAATTAGAGATTTGAGCAGCAGAAATTCCAATTGGTTAGTATCTTTGCAAGGCATGTATGGAATGCACTTTCGATTCCAAACTGCTACACTGCTCTTTCAAACGCCTTCCCCCCTCTTTCTGTTGGCAACTATAAAACGGGCATAGAAAATGTTTTATGAGTTGACAACAGGATTAGGATCTTATTGGACAAGAATACCTCTATCTTGCTGATATTTAGGTTCAACCATTTTATTCTAGTTCTTGACAGCCTCTCTTGAAGTATAAACCTGCAACTACTACCGGATAGCAATATAAAGCTGGATATAATCAATATATTGATGACACTATATCTCAAAGTGTTGGATGATTTTTCCTAATGACATCATGAATTGTAAAAAAAAATTGGGTTAGAGGACTAACTTCTATGGCACCCCACAAAATATCTCCCCCTCTGTTACTAGCTACAGGGACTGTCTAGTTATGGATATGGTGTAAGAGCAAGAACTCTTTTACAATAGGTCTTCTGATTCTTGTGGTTTAATGGAGGTCCACAAGAATACCTTGATCAATGAAATCAAAGACTGCCAAGAAGACTAGAAGGACAGAAAGTTTATCTACTTGAGTAAACAATACTATTTCTGTTCCACACCTACTTCTTCTAGAGTGCTCTGTAATTGATCTTCCAGCAATGTATTAAGAACTTTAATTAGAAAGACAGGATTGAGGACTCGATAATGACTATGTAAAACCACTGGATCCAGATGGTCTATTTCATGAGAGAGCATATCAAATTTCTTATAATATAACAAGCAATGCCTCTTGTTGGCCATATGACAACAAACAATGCAGCTCCTCTAAGACCATGAGTCATTCACTATTGGTCCTCCTATGGAGTTTATATCACTTCATTTCCTATCCCAGGCTGTTGGGACCATCTTGTCAAATGTTTGGATTGATTTTGGTTGTCAGAGGTTCAATGGGCATTTGATACAATTTCTCGATAGATAGTGAGGAAATTCCCCATTGGAAACCATTTGGGTCCATTTGGTGTCTGAAGTCAATCATCGTAATGGGTTCAATTACCCTACAAGGGTCCTAGATTGTAATTAGATACATCTGGACCCAGTGTCAGCAGATTAAGGCAAAGGGATGATAGATAGCTCTTCCAAATCCATCTCTCAAAGAATTGCTCTGTCAACCCTGAAGATGACATGTGTGTAGCCGTATTTTATTGTAACCTTTGTCTATTCTTTCCTTAGCTTTCTTTAGGTTTTCCGCAAAGGAATTTAATGATACTCCAGACTTGCCACTCTCTAGTTGTTGAAAGGTGCGTTATAGAGATAAAGGGAGAACAATGTGTCCAGATCAGTGGTTGCCAACCGGTGGGCCACGGCCCGCTGGTGGGCCGTGAGAAAATTTTGGTGGGCCACAGAGAAATCTCTCCCCCAGAGCACCCCCACAAAGCAAATAATCCAGGCTGTGCAGAAACACAAGGCTGCCCTCCCCGCCCACTCACTCCTTACCTGGCAAACGCCTGCTAAATTGTTATTTTTTCTTTTTCTGACCATCATGTTCTGCTATGCCGGGAGATTTAGAGATTTAGCTAGGAAGCAGGAAATGGTTGGATTTCTTGCTTTCTAGCTAGTCTTCAGATCTTTGGCTCAGCACAGCTGAACCTCCCTTAGGACTGAAGGTTTGCTTGCAAGAAAATTGAGTGCAGATTCATGGCAAGCAAATTTGAGAGACTGAGCTAGCCGATGGCAGATAGATAGATCACTGAATGATTCTGTGAGCAACTCAGTCTGCCTGCTTTGCCTGATTTTGGGTAAAAGTTGCTTTTTTTATAAAAAAAATTCAATATTTACATGCATGGTGTGTTGTGAATTAATTTTGTGAGTTTTCTTGGTAGCAAATTTTATGTGACAGACTAAGCTAGCCAATGGCAGATAGATAGATGTCTGAATGAATCTGTGATTCTGTCAGCAACTCAATCTGCCTGCTTTCCCTGATTTTGGGTAAAAGTTGCTCTTTTTTATAAAAAAAATTCAATATTTATATAAATATTTATAATATTTATATTATATTTAATATCACATGACCACCAAGCCACACCCACAAATTAGGCCATGCCCACAGAACCAGTTTGTGGTCCCTGGGATCTAAAATTATGAGTTTGGTGGTCCCTGAGGTCCAAAAGGTTGGTGACCCCTGATCTAGATGGCATTGTTTTCTGTGGGAACAGAGAAGATGTTTGAAGCTGGTGGAAGGTGGAGTTTGGCATCACCAGACTGATGGACTGAGAATTGATTGGAGATTGTGACTCTGGGAGGAAGTTTCAAACTTTTGCTTTTTACTGGGTGTAATTCCAGAATCTGGCCAGTCGGAATTATACCAAGTCCTTGCCAATTTGATATGTTCCTAATAAACAGACTTTGGAGAAAGATGGATGCCTTGGATTTTATTTCAGGGGACATATTACTTGGAACCTTGATATGCTCTAAATTAAAAATGAGATCTAGCACATAATCACCAATATATGTGGTCCAGACTTAAGCCTACAGTTGCCACCAAGGTATGAGCTCAGGTGCTTTCCCCAAATCAAATAGCTCAAGGAAAAATACTGCTGGGTAACAAAGAATACTGTATCTTCTGAAAGAGCAATATTCCCATCCTCGTGATTTTGCAATATACACCAGATCTGCCTTCTTATTCCCTTATTCCCACCAAATTGTGAAGAAATAAGCTTTTATTATGAATAGATCTGGTATTTGCCAATAGCACCCCAAGGCCAGGAAACCGGGAAATTCAGCCATCAAGATGAGATTATGAGTTAGAAGTAGAGATTGTAAAGAATTTGGAGGACTCTCTTGGTTTGGAATGGTCCAACTGAACCACTTCTATCTCATTCATACAATCCAATCTCAACTTTCCTGTCCTCCCCAAACTCCAAATTGCTCTATCTCTCCTTGATGCCTTCTTATTAATGGCCTGAGTGGGGAGACTTTGCTTCCTCCTTATCTTACAATAAATAAGGGCTAGCCTTCCACTACATTGAGTCTCATCTAAGGTAGCCATTCACTGCCAAAACAATGGTTTAAGCTTCCCCAGGGCAATGGAGGAGGAGGAGGCATTAGCCTGAGGCAAGGATAAATATAAAGCAGCTGACAAAACTTAGGTTCATAAAAGGAGATGTAAAAGTCAAGGGAAATAGATCAGAAAGAGGTGCTGGGGCTGGAATTTCCCACTGCCCAAATTTATACAGTTCATATTTATGGTTGTATTTCCATATACACTTAATGGATAATTTGCTCATTAAAATTATTTGTAAATAGTAAGAAGATCTAGAAACTGGGAATTTAATACAATACTTTTAAGACAAGGCAATTCTTACCTGTACAGCCCAGAGGTAGTCTAAACGTAACTTCAAATCTACCTGTCTTGAATGAAGTGCCAAAGCACAGGAAAACAGCAAGATGGCTAATATTGGTTCATAGCCACGTATATAAAAGGAGCCATCCCTTTAAAAAAATGATGCAAACTTTTATACTTTGCTATTGTCACAAAGTGAAAACAATACAACAGATGATTCCACATCTAATGGTAATCTGTTGGAATTTAAGAGGTGTAATGTTATTAATTATTATGGGCAACTTTATGCCATAATAGAATATAAAAAGAGCAATAGAAGTAGCAGTAAAAAGAAGGCTATGGATAGGCCTTCTGAACTTGTGTAGCAGAGCAGGATTTTCCTCATTTTTTTTCCTAAGTATCTTGGCTTTCTCCTATGCTCTTCATCTCTCAATTGAGAGATAGGCTGATGTGTATATTAAAGGAAAGAACTTTATCACGATCCTAGGTTTTGACTCTGCTGGAGAAACAGGGCATGCAATATAATGATGGACATATAAAACAAATCATTTCCTATTCTAAAGGCTTTAATAAACTAATGTGGATTTAAAAAAAGGAAATGGAGAAAAACAGCAAAAGAAAAATGGAGCTAAATATGAACAAACTCTACATGTCGCTTTGTTCTATGGATGACATAAATAGTTAAAGATTATCTTCAAAGTCTCTGACACATATTAAAATTCCTTTCCTTCTATAAAAGAGCATTGCATTACAAGTGTGAAGATAAATTATGGAAGCAGTAGTCATGCCCATTTGTATTTATGCAAATACTTACCCTACTGCCTTTCGGTATCCACTGAGCTCCAAAATAACTATATACAGAATCATAACAAAAAGGAGGAGGATCAATTTTGGCAAAGAAGATACACGTAAAAATATTGCCAGGGTCAAAGTCCCCACAACACAGGAGAGAAATGCATAATGGGCTGTATCGCATGGAAGTTCAGTCATTGTCTTATTTGTCCCACTGGAATAAATTATAATTATAGAGCTGCTGGAATTAGTGTTCCAGATCCAAGGCATACAACCAACCTGCAGGAAAAAGGTAATATATGTTAAATCAAGCTCACTGGAAAATAACTTCATAAAGTTGAATTTGGATATAGTGTATGTGGTAGCTTTAGAGCTAGGAGAAAACTGTGAAATTAAAACTATGATCTGCAATTATTTATTTAAAATGTATCTTCTTTGAGGGATGATTTTCCAATATTTGAGGGGCTGCCACAGAGAGAAGGGGTCAAGCTATTTTCCCATGCACCTGAAGGCCAGACAAGAAATAATGGATGGAAACTTATCATGGAGAGATTCAACCTAGAAATAAGGAAAAATTTTCTGAAGTGAGAACAATCAACCAATCAAACAGCTTGCCTGCAGAAGTTGTGGGAGCTTCACCATGGGAAGCTTTCAAGAAGAGATAGACTGCCATCTGTCCCAAATGGTGTAAAGTATCCTGCTTGGGTGGGGGGTTGGACTAGAAGATGATCTACAAGGTCCCTTCCAATTCTGTCATTCTGTTTTGTGCCATTCTGTTCTGAATACATTTAACTGAGAAGTTGTTTTGATAGGAAACTCTTTCTAATACTACATGTTCCAATGGTGGATGTATTGGAGAAGGGTGACACAAGCTTTCAACAGTGCCTACAGAAAGAGAAAAAATGCTTGCATGATAAGGTTAAAGAATGATGAAATAGAGGGCCAAGGTAAAAAAGTAGTGGAATTCCTCCCAATAGGATGATGGAATGGGCTTGAATCAGAAAACGATCTGATGGTGCCAAAAACCACCAAGAGATCCTTGTAGGGCTAGGATGAACACATCAATCCTAAGCTTTCCAGACGCTATCCACAAGTGCAATCAATTCAATCTTGGTACCATAACATGGTTTGAATCCTAATTGGAAAGATTCTCAGTAATCCATTTTCAGAGCCATGGTGGTGCAGTGGTTACAATGCAGACTAATTCTCACGATTGCCAGCAGTTTGATTCTCACCAGCTCAAGGTTGACTGAGCCTTCTATCTTTCCAAAGTCAGTAAAATGAGGACCGAGATTCTTGGGGGAAATATGCTCTTTGTAAACAACTTAGAAAGGGCTGTAAAGCACTAAGAAGCGGTATTTAAGTGCTATTACTATTTCCCAGACCTTCTAAAACTGGCCACTTACCATCCTCTCAACAAACTTCCTCCAGAAGGGGAGAGTGAATACTGGAAGAATGCACAAAAGCATCAGTTGGAAGGATGGCCTCTTGAGAAAGGGTTGCATTACCACCTACTTTAAGGCATTTCTCCTTACCAGTGGACTCCAAAGTATGGCAATATCCACAGTCTAAACTTGTATATTTTTCCATAAATTGATATTATTCTACAAGTACTGAATTGGGTCTTTATAGTTGATGTACATTCATTTAGAACTAGTTCATAATCTTTGCTTTGCTTACTTCTCTTCCATTGGATTAGGAAAAATTTAAAAAATCCTCTTGAAAATATCAAATTACAGCAAAAAGGAGGATAAAGTGGTAGTAAAAATGATTCAAAATAGCCAAACAATCACACCATTATTGCGGTGTAGTTAAGTGTATAGGTTTTCTCTATTTCTCATAAAGTACATTTGTATGTGTAAATGTATCCACAGACATATGCTAGCATATGAAAATGCTTATAATATGTCAGCAATATATATAGAGTAAGCAGATTAATTCAACTCTTTGATCTATGTTTACGAAAAAACAAATCTTACATTTCAGAAAACCAGTTAGTTAAAAGTAAATTAAATCTTTGAGAGAGATTTAATAATTGCATGATTTGTGGCACAATATTCTTTAATTTATTTTTGTCATATTAGGTTCAGTTAATTTCTAAGAAAATCTAGTCAATTAAATTTCCCGTTTTCATTATAATACTATGGATTACAGTTGGAAGCCTGAATATGTTACATGAAATAAGGTTCTTGTGTATAGAAAAAAGCTGAGTGAGGAAAAATCACCCATAGTAATGTTAATTCCTAATTGTTTTAAAGGATACAGTCCAAAAAACCCACTTGATTATTGCACCCACAAATTAGTTTTTATCAAATGAAGCAGCAACAATAAATATAATTCAGAAGAGTCTAGGACTTTTTTTCAGTCTTTTATGTCTTCATTTCAATTTCAGGTCTATTTTTTACAGTAAGATAGCTAGTGTAATATATTAATTGGTGTGTTATTTTGAATCCATAACAAGCTCAGTTACTATAAGCAGCAAGCTAATGGGATAGTACATTTCTCATCAATATTTGTTTATTCAGAAACTATCTCATTCCATAGGTCTTTGATAATATAAAAATGTTACAACAACAATAAGAAACCTCTAAGCAATAATAGACAATAAAATGTCTCTTAGAAAAGTCAAGTTTTAATTCTTCTCCAGATAGCCATGGGGGAACATTTTTGCTTCCAAGTTAGAGGATGTGTCACCCAGAATATTTGTCTTTATATCTGTCTACATTGTACCCCAAATATAACTATTTACAGGTTCATATCACTTACCACACAGCCTTGTGCCACTGAGTAAATTAAGATCACAATAAAAATACACAAAATAGTTCTAATTTGTATTGTCAGGCACCCTGGAAAACACTGAAAGACAAAACCAATATATATTCATTTGGAAAATGATTGTCCACACTATTGTTGTTGTTATATACAAAAAAATGTGAAATCACAGTTGTCAGTTTTTTTAGCTGATATCGGATGTTATATGTATCAAATGCTTCCCCAAAATCTAGGATGTCATAATGTAGCAGTGTGATATAGGTATGAATCTAAATAGAGAGACTTTTTGTAATTGACAGATAGAAATAGTGTCAATGTACAGATTTTTTAAAGTGCCATCCAAGATTTTTTGGTATCACACCCAGTGTGCCAATCACCATTGGCACCAACAAAGCTGGTTTATGCCATAATTTTTCAAGTTCTATTTTCAAATCATTTGTATCAGGCAATCTTTTCTAATTCTAATTCTTATTATTTTTGAAAGATATCAGAAAATTAGTAATGTCCTAATGCATTTCCTTCACCCCACAAAAAGGTTAAATATTTTATTTCTTATGGTCATAAAACATAACTCAATTGTATTCTCAAATCATGGTTCAATTACATTAACATTTGACTTCAAAGTTCAGTCAGTTAAAGATGGATGATATTTTAATACTTCTTTGTCACAGGGTAATGTTTCTGATTATATTTTTTATATTATATTAAACAGCAAAAATGATAATTTTGTGAATATAATCAAGATTTTATCCATTCATAGATTGTATGGAATGCATGTAAAGTTTATGTATAAGGATATCTGAATGTTCATACCTTGTGAAAAGTAAAAATTTTGGTTACAAACACATGCAATTTTGATTGATGAGTGTTTACTGGCACCCACAAAGAATCACATGCAACAGATTTATAATGCATTCTAAGTTTATCTTAGTCCAGATGTATCAAAAATTAGAAAAATATTTAATATTTTTATATGCTGAAAAACATATTGCAATGGTTGAAATGAGTGAAATTAGTGAATTAGTGAAAAAGTGCCAGCCAGCTGGCCAGGCAGAAAGCAGATCAGGCAGTGCTGGCTAGCTGGGGAGGGGGTATCAAGGCTTCTCAGGTGGCTGCCGCTGCCAGCACCTTCAATGTCCTGACTGAAGCTGGTGCTCGCCACACCATGGGAGAAATGAGAGACCCAGTTGTCCCCAGTTGTCCTGCAGAGCCCACCGCTGCTTGAGTGGGGAGGACAAGTAGAAGAATGGTGAGCCCCAGGGAGTAGGTGAGACAGGACTGGCTGATTGGGGTGGAGGGATCATGGCTGCTCAGGTGGCTGCTGCCACCATCTCACTGCCAGCAGCTTGGGTGCCCCAACTCTCCCTCCCGTTCCCCCTCTCTCTCAGCACAGAATGAAGAACGAAGCGAGGTGGTGAAGGGGTGGAGGACGAAGCAAGGCAGGGAGTGCAGAGCTGCCCCACCTGCCCTGCCCCAGCTTACCTGAGGGCCCTGCAGCCAGGCCACTGATGTCAAAGTCTCATCCCCCCACCCCCACCCAGGTCAACCACATCCTTTTACTAACCAGCCTTTCAGCTCCATTCACTTCCATGGCATGTAGGACAACTAAAGCAGTCTGTGGGACTATGATAAAAAAAATAGTTCAGACTTTCCAACCTCTCACAAAAAAAAAAAAAAACAACTCATGAGGTTGGAAGGTCTGAACTTTTTTTTTTTTATTGTAGTCCCCCAGACTACTTTTGTTGCACTGTATGTGCCAATGAAGAACTGGGCCTGTGCCCTCACCTGTCCACCCAGATGGCATGTAGCAGGCTGAAGTGACGCAGGCTAGATTCGTACATTTTCCAGAATGGCCATATGAGATGGATTCAGCCTTATTGTGGGCCAGATCCAGCCCATGGGCCTTGAGTTTGACACCCCTGCTTTAAACTGTATGGTTGAGTAAAAGCTGTTAATGAGTACTCAAATTTCAACCACTTTGTAAGGGATATGGGACCCTCTATTGAGACTTTGCAAAATCTTTTATTCCAGGTATTATCTAGTTTTCCACATGATTTCCCCGTCTTTTCATTTTGTTTTCTATATTATTGCTCCTAGCAAACTGAGCATTATAACTCCAGAATCAATATATCAACAAGATAATGATTAAACACAAGTAGAGTTAGGGTAAGCTAAATTAATTCATAACAAGCTCTGTTTCACAGCAGAAAACTATTCAAGCATTTATCACTTATTTACTGGAGTGTGATACAGTCATTATTCCTGTGTGTCAGGAGTGGTACAATTTTTATATTCACCAATAAAAAAAGATTTAATAAAAGGTTTTTTTAAAGGAAATGAAAAATAGGATTCTTAAAAGCAATAAATGGCATTAAGTATTATACATTAAAACGTCTATCTACCTATAGACATGAAATACAGAAGAAATAAAATGAAGACTGGGATAATTGATACATATATTCCTTTTCCACAAGAGCTTTCACAACATTTCAGGTCACTTACTTGTACTCGAGTGACATGTAGATACATGATGCATGCCACCAGGAAGCACATGCAAAACACTAAGAGAATGAGGACTATGGTACTCCTAGAAAAAAAGAAAGAAAACTAAGTCATGGCACACAAATAAAAGCAAATTCTTCACATTAGTAGAATCTATTTAAATATCAAGGATTTTTCTTTCTCAATATGTAAGTTCCTCAATTATTCTTTTTCTGCTGTTCATTTTTAGTAGAATTATTATTTTTTGCATATAATTAATAGAACAATGGTTCTTTAAAAATAATGTAAAACAGGTCCTCTGTGAATAAAGTTTACTATGATTGCTTTTAAGAATAATGTGTTTAGACATAATCCATTTGATATGGAGACATAAGGACAACTCAGCCTTCCAAGATGAGTAAAATGAGGACCCAGATTGTAGAGGGCAACATGCTGACTCTCTAAAATGCATAAAGAGGGCTGTAAAGCACTAAGAAGTGGTATATAAGTCTAAGGGCTACATTCTTTGTTTTCTGTAAATAGATTTTATAAAATTTTCACGGCCCTCCTGAGCTCCATTTTCACTGGCAGAGCACTGCAGGAGGCCATTACAGCCAAAAATAGAGCCCAGGAGGACCCCCTCCTAAGCTCTGTTTTTGCTAGCAGTGCTAGCAAAACAAACTACTAGCAAAAGTGGCATTTGATCACAAGGCAAGGAGGCATTGAGAAATGCTTCCCCTTTTGCATTTGAGCATCCAAGAAGGGATGGGAAAGGAGAAAAGGAAAGAGGAAAGAAAAAGAAGGAAAGATGGGAAGAAAAAAATGAAGGAAAAAGAAGAAAGGAGGGAAAGGAAGAAGAATGAAGAGAGAAGGAAAAGAAGAAAAGGGAAGAAGGAAGAAAGGATATTATGTGAGGGAGGGAGGGTCTGAGGGAAGTCCTACCTTAGCACTTGGCCACCAGAAACCCTGCTGCCCTTTTGCCATCCCCTTGCCTACTTCTCCTGACCTCTCCTAGTTGTCTCCCATCCTATCTCTGAGGATGCTTTGGTTATAAAGGCAGGTCTCCTCACATGAAAAAGGAGTGGGCCTCCCTCTGACTCACACTTTGCTCTTCTCACACACCATGAGCAACCTAGCCAAGGAGAGGAGAACAACAAGCAGCAGCTTCGAGGAGGAGGTAAGTGCAGCTGGAAAACCTCTCTGGGAAGCGGGTTGGGCTGGGGGTCCTTGCGCCCTGGGACCTTGATGGCCGGGCTGAGCGCGTGCCCTCTGCTGCCTAGGGCTCTGGACAGCCTAGGCCACCATCTGGGGGTACTGTGTGGCCTGACAGGGATAGCGAGGCTTCTCTGGAGGACAAGGATTTGGCACTCTCCCTGGTCTCACCTTTCTCTGCTGGAGACAGTGGATCCCCCCAGCCCTGCCCAGGCCACCACAGGTGCCCCTGACATGGGCAATGTTGAACTGGCCACACCCACCCAGCCAGACACCTCCTGCCCCTCAAGGTCAAACACAACCCTAATGCAGTCTTCAGTGAAATCAAGTTTGATACGCCTGTGCTATATCCTGCAACAATTCTACAATACTCTTTCTAATACCTTTTAGTGGAATGAAGTTATTTGGGTAGCTGCATTTTCATAATTTGACATAGCTGTAATAATAGCTTACAGTTCTTCCAAGGGCAATGTTTGATTCTACTTATATATAATGTCTATTGTCTTTGTCTTCTACTTCCTTTATTCTGCCAAACATCCATTTTTTTCCTGATGGCTTTAATCAATATTAACTGAACATAAATAAATTATTTAATAGTATGATTCTTTTACATATACACGAGACAAAATATAAACTATGTACTGTAATTTGCTTTTTTACTTTTTGATTTTTTTTTGAATAAATTAGTTTCATAAAGCATTAACTTAATTCTTTTAGAAAGTCCTTAGCACAGTGTGGAAGTATTTCTTTCAAATTGAGGCAAGTCATTAACCACTCTTTCTGTCAGAAAGAAGCCATAATCATTATATATAGTTAGCACTTTCAGTTTGCATTATTTGATGAATGAATGTAACAATGTTGAGTTCAAACTGCTTTTATATTTCAGCAGAAAGAAATAGATAAAATAAATAAACAAAGAAAAAAAAACAAAGAAAGAAAAAATAGCCTATGGATGAACATCATGAATGTGCTAATTCTCACCTGAAATAAATATTTAAAAAACTTCTATGAGCTATTCTTTTCCCTAAATAAAAAAATCCCTGATCTCAATCTGTATTAAGACACCATATGGTTGTACCAGAGGGGGAAAAGTAAATAAATTATGGCATACATTTTATACATAATCTGTTTAACCCTTGGATTTTTTTTAGACTGATTTTATGATGCACTGAATCTTTGGCTCTTAAATTTCCATGAGCATTAGAAAAGCAGATATTGCTCTGTTAAATTTTCCTAACTCCAAGATGAAAGTATGAACAAAAGCAAATTTGCTTCTTATTATGAATGAATGTAGAAATGCCTTTGTTTTATTACTTCATACAAGATTTGTTTTTCCACAAGCAATCCACTGCATTAGCTTTGTTCCCAATAATTTCAGTTAAAGAGCAATGGAAACTTTTCAAAGCTAAAGGACATTAATTGAGGGTTGTTTAGTATGTTGGATAGAATTTAAGAATTAAACACTTTTAATGAATACAGAGCACATTCAAAATACTTATATACCAGTATAAATGCACTTGGCATTTAAATTATTGGAAACAAAATAACTTACTGTGGAATTATTAAAAGGTAGACAAGGCCAAATAAGGCAGCTAGAATCAATGACAAGACTACAGCACTGGTGAAATATTCATCCTGAAGTTGGTGATACTGTGAATGAAAGAGGGAAAGGAGAGAGATGGATTTAGTTAGCCATTTGTTTTGTGTTTTGTAATTCTGAAGATACAAATAATTGTGCTAAAAATGAAGTACAAAAAGTGATTTAAAATCCTGAAGTTTGCCAGTTACATATTTCTTTTTAAATATTTATAGTTAGCCCAGAGTTAGGGGGAAAATCCTCTTCTAAGCTTCAGAATATTTTGAAAATCAGAATAAGTTTTTACATTACTTCTTATCTTGGAATCAGGAAAAGGGAAAAAAATCCCAGATAAATGTGTTATCCTTGAAAGTATGTTGTGTGCTATTCAGAAAACATCAAAGGCCAGCTGTAGCCTCTTTACATATCAGACTGGGAAGGAGAGGTGGAATGATATCTTTGCAGTTATCTCAGATCTCAGAAATTTTATTACATAGCAGCCTTCATTTCCACCCAAAGCTCACATGATTTTTGATGGTTTAATTACATTGGAAATATTAATTGGAAGTATTAATATTTTATTAACTGTCATTAATATACTTTCTGTAGGAGCAGACTTTACAATTATCCACATTGATTTCAGAGAGCTTCCACAAAGCTAGGATTTAAATATTTTTAAATATGTTGTATATTGTGATTCATTCAAAATTATAGAAAAAGACAGTTGAATAAAGGTACAATAATTTTAAAGAAGAAATAACTCAGTGGAGAAGACAAATTCACTTCTGAGATTAGGAGAAAAGATCAGCTTGAAGAGGATTTGTTGCATTTACAAGAAAGCTCTCTGGTTTCTTAATGAAATCATGAAAAATATTGACATCCTTTCCTCAAAAGAAAATATTTTTTTCCTTAGTGAAACTGTTTATTTAGGATGAAGCCAACCCTACTTTATCACAAGCTGTGTTTTTGTTTATCGCTACAATTTGTTTGTGAAACATTGTCTCTTACAAAATACACAAATACTATATAATTAATTTTGAATCAAAGCCAGTCCCAACAAACAATACCACAACTTAGTAGCAGTAGCTTGTAAAAACAGAAGTGATTAAACAGTTGTAGGGGGAACTGCCAAATATTAACTGAATAAAGAAAAAAAGAGTACGCATTTGTTGTGTGTTGGTCTTCTCAGATAAAAAATTTGAAACATGAAGTGCTAATATGACAAAGCTCTGCTCCAAGTTTCTTTCAATTATTTTTTTTGCAAAATAGGTGAGTTTTGATCTTAAATTATGAAAGGGTTACAATATCCTGATAATTTAAATAAGAAATCAGGGTCCTACACTCAGGAAAAAAAACAACTATCTGATATCACAAAGGTATATTTTATTGCTTTGCCCTTACATGTAAAGAAAGAAGGAAGAGGATCTAGAGATTACAAACACAAAGGTTACATTTACTCATTGCTGTAACACCAAGGCAAGATTTAATACCCTACCTAACTTGGAACATTACCACAATAAATTAAAACCACAGTGATGAAATAATAATTATGTGATGAATGAAGCCAATTCTTTCCTGAAAGTACTTTCTGCATTTTTGTCCTTTCAGCTGAAGAACACTGTACAAAATATCTAAGGACCTCCGGTTTGGAAGTCTAAATCTTTCATTTACAAAAAGATGAAACCACGTTGAAGTATATATAGAAAGGAAAAATACTTCAACCACGGAAAGAAGCTAATAATGTGTTGCTACTAAAAGAAGATCAAGATGTTATGAAGACAAAGAATTACAGACCAATTTCATTTTTAAACAAGTACTACAATCTCTTTGCTGCAGCTTTGGCAGAAAGATTAAAGGAGATTTTACAGGTATATTCATAAAGACCAATCTGACTTTCTGCCAAAAGACAATTTAGGGATAATGTAAGAACTGCTTTGAATATTATCAAATATTTACAATATCATAATGAGAAACAGGCACCTCTAATAATCTTAGATACAGAGAAGGCCTTTGACAATATACATGGGGCTTTTATGTTTAAAGTGTTAGAAGAAATGGACTTTGGAGAGAACTTTATTTAAAGGGTCAAAGCTGTTTATATGTCAAAACAAGGAAAATTTGTTATCAGTGGTGATTTAACTAATTCATGTGAAATTCAAAAGGATAAGGATGCCCCCGTCTCTTTTGTTGTTTATTTTGTTGCAGGAAGTTTTGAACAGAGATATTGGGCAAGATGAAAAAATAACAGATATAAGTATCAAGAAAGAATGTTATAAATTGAGGGCATTTGCTAATGATTTGGTTATATTCCTGCAAGACTCAAAAAACAATATAGAATATTTGATGAGGAAATTAAATGAGCTTGGGGCTATAGCAGGTTTTAAAATAAACAAACAGAAAACAATGCTGATTAAGAATATGTCTTCTTAGGACTGTGACATATTGACTAAAAAGTATGGTTTTTAGGGCCAGGAAAAAGGTGGAATACTTGGCGTTTATGTTGACAAACAGAAACACAAAACTGTTTCAAAATAATCATGCACCTCTCTAGAATGATTTAAAAAGGACTTACTAAGATGGGACAAATTGCATTTATCACTATTGGATAGAATTTGCGTAATTAAGATGAGTATCTTACTAAAGATGCTTTTACTGTTTCAGACATTACTAATACTTGCTACTGATATTCCATTTAAACAATGGCAGAGATATATTTCCAAATTTATATGGCAAAGAAAAAAACCCCCCAAGAATTAGACATACTGTAAACTATTGCAAGATTCTAAGAAAAGAGATGGTTTGAGTTTATCAGATTTGAAACTGTATTTCGATGCTTGTTATTTGGTCTGGCTAACCTCCACAATAAAAGGCTACTTAGTTTAGAAGGTCATGAACTAAGGTTTCAATGGCACAGTTATTTATGGTAAATAAATAAAGTTAAAGTAAATTTTGATTTTAACAACCATTTTGTTAGATGTGCTATTCTAAGGATTTGGAATAAGTATACAACAGGGTTTTCTACAAAGATGCCTCTTTGGGTGTTCTCCCAAGAAACCTTTTTCAGAAAAGAAATGGTGATGAAGCTGGACTGATGGACTTATGGTAAAATATCTTTTAATTTTGGTGATCCTACCCTCAAGCTTAAGGAAGAGCTAGAATCAGAAGGACATGTCTGCCTTTGGTTTACATATTTACAATTGAAAGAAATATTTAAATTTGATAAAAAAGAGATATAGATTTGACTTTGTTAAAAATAAATTGGATAACTTACTGTGTGGTAGTGATGAACGTATTATTGCTAAGGTTTATAAAGCATTATTGAAATTGAATTTGTAAAGTGAACAAGAAAAGCACTGTATGATTCAGTGGGCAATTTCTTTGGATGTAATGCAATGCTTGATCAATGGGAGAATGTATGGATGAAAGGTTTAAAATTCACATTAAATTACAATTTAAAAGAAAATTTATATGATGTATTGCTGGTATTTAAACACTAAACAAGTTATCCAGAATCTATAAAGGTACTTCAATTGAATGTTGGAAACATAAATATAAAAAAAGGACCTTTTATCCATGGGTGCCCAGCAAATCGTGCCCCTGGCTGGCCCTGCCCCTCTCTACCCAGTCAGTCCTTGTGGCATATGAACAACATTGTGCGTATGCCCGACATTTCTGACTGCGTTCTTCCCCGCCCAGTCACTCCTCAAGGTATTTTGTTCCCCTCCTGATGATCAGCTGTTCCTATGATGAGCTGTGCCAGGATTTTCTTTACTTACTTACTGCTTCACCCAGGAGGCTTTCCTGAGGCCCAGGAAGGCAAAAAATGGAGTGGGCACAGCACTGGTGCCAAAAAGGAACCACACCCACCCAGTCACATGGCCACACCCACCTAGCCATACCCACAGAACCGGTTGTTACAAAATTTGAATCCCACGCCCGCTTTTATCATTTATGGTGGATATATGTTAAAGCAAAAAAAAAAAAAAATCAAGAGTAGGATTCATATTCTAATACAATTCTTAAAATGAATATAAAGATAAAAAAAAAATTCTTTTGGTTTAATAGAAAAAGACTTGGAAAAAAATTGGAACTTTGATGTTATATATGTTGATGGCAGCAAGATTATTTTATGCATAAAAATAGGACATTTCAATCCCCACAATCTAACTAACATTAAAAAAACAACAACCCATAAGTACTTTTGTTTCTACTTGAAACTGCTTCTGGACTTTGTGCTTGAGGTAAAAAAAAAAATTAACCTTGGATTTTGGGTTTTACTGTTTAGATAGGGGATTTTTTTTGTTATAGAAATGGTTAGTTTATACTATTATATAAAAGTAAAAAGTTGAGGTTTGATTTTACAACTTTATTCTAGTGCACTAGAGGTAGTCGGACGTCAATGTCTTTTTTCTTTTTTCCCTTCTTTTCTACCCTTCTCCTTTTCCCTTTCCCTCCCTTATTTTTTCTATTATTTGCTATTTTTTGTATTTTATATTGTAAACTAAGAAAAAACTGCAAACACACAAAAAGATGCAATCTTTAAGAAAAGTCTCACCTACCTTTTGCTCACGTTCTATCTGCTTATATCTTAGAGTAAAAAAGTTTAGATCTGCCATTTCTGATTCAGTTTGCCGAGCCTCTATTAAGCGGCTGATATACCGGTTAACTCGGGTTCCAGGAGTGTTATATACAACATTTGTAGAAAAAGAGGAACGATTCCTGAGTTTTTCAGAGGCTGTCCTTAATGCCCTTCTCTGTGGCAAAAATTAAAAATAAATGATGAGTGACAGGACTAACAATATATTTGAAAGATTAAACAACACTGTATTCTAGCATTAAATGGGCTACTGATTGCTCTGCCTTGTGAAAAATCTATAAACTTACAAAAAAAAAAAAAAAAAACAGCAATAGCAGCCAATATTTAGTGGCCACCCTCAGACTGATTAATATCAGGTGCTATAATTTGTGAAATGTGGGGGGAAATGTAATTTATTGCCTAATTTTATTAGCTATTCTGAATTCTTTCCATCATGACTTTATTTTTTAATTTTTTAAAATGTCCATAGGGACATACGTTCTTAATATATTTTTTCAATTATAGAAATGGTAATGGAGAACTTTTATATGGAATTTGTGCTTCACAGAATCACCAAGAATCGTGTTGGGAAACTGAAAGTCTTGTAACAGTTCTAACTTCTTCATGTAAATAGCAACCTCAATTATGTTTAAAGATACATTGATTCCTTCGTTATAAGACCTGGATTAAGCTTCCCTCTAATCATTTTGGAAGCCAATAGTATCTGAAAACAAGTTTAAAACTAATGTGTGAGAGGAAAGCAATATATCACAGACATTTCTCCTGTAATATTTAATTTCCTGGATAAGTGGGCAGAAATAATAATTTAGAAAGGAAGCTTTTCAAATTTGGCTGTTCTTGCCATTCACTCCTCAGTGAAAGACCTATAAGAATACTGCCCTGTGCTTGGTGGAACAAAATGGTGTAATATCTCCACCTAGCGGGAAAATTAAATATACATTTATTTATTGTAATATAAAATTGATTGATGGATTATTTTTAGAGGGAACAGACTTTAGGATGAAACCAAGCCACATTTTTTTTTAATATTTAGCAACAGAGAAAGATTATGTTCGATATAAAATCAGGAAATGTTTAAGACTTATTTGATCTTAGGTCCTGCAATAGAGACAAATTTCATCTGCATTTCTTTCAGTGACAATGACAGTTGTATGTAAAAGTTGTCTTGTTCTATAGTTCCTGAGTCTATATCTCTATTTAATAATCTACATTCATTAATATTAATTATTAATATTCCATAATGGCCATTCCAACAGTTCAACATTCATTTAATTTATTATTTCAAAAGGAAATATTATTGGAATTGTGGGGAAGTTGTAAAAGCGAGTTGTTAAACCAATTCTCGTTAGCTTTGTAGTTTATTTCCAAATTTTGGACTGCTCCTGCTTTATTGCTAAGTAGAAATCTCTGTATAAATAGTATATGGATACGGCATTAAAATGGACAGTAGAAGAAGCAATTATCATTTATTTCTATCCCTTCATTAATTAGTGAGGGGAAAATGTCTTCAACAGACAAGTCTGCAACAAACATAAAAACATAGGATTTCGGTCACGTGATTGCAGCAAGCAATTTATTTTTTTCTCCATGTCACTAATTATAACATGTTTAGGCAATCATGCAATACCTGGAAACATTATTTTATAAATAAATTTTATGGAAAAATAAACCAATAAACTTGAAATTAAAAAGTATATTAAGAAGTGGAGGGTGTTCAAGACAAAATGATTTTATGCAAGGATGCTAACCAGAAATAATTTTTGATTCTTTAATATGGATTTAATGCCGAAGGAGATTATGAAAATCCAGTGCTATTTATAGAAAAACTCATATAGCAACTCTATCCAATGCAATTTGGCTAGAGATTACAGACAGAAACACATATTAGTTTCCACTTTCATTCAAAAATGAGATCCAGCCCAGTGAATTTTTAATGAGACATCTTTGGCAACAAAGATATTTAGCTCCTTAACCAAATCTTCCCTTCCACATACAAGGGCATAAAAAGTGTTCTGATCTGAATGCCATTGGTAATTTTATTGAGCTGGAGTCAAAAAGAAAACCAAATATCTGTACGTATTTAAGAATTTTTAGTTTTGATTTTTTTTAAAAAAACCTAACTTTTAAAAAAATATTTCTGTTTAAAAAAAATGTATTTCTTGTGTCAATTATTTCTACTACATCAAATTTTTTAAAATAGTTTATTCTTTGTTCCAAAAGAGATATAACTAAAGTTACTTCTAATTGTTGCATTTCTATTTGCTTCAGTTTATTCTTCAATGTGGTTGATTAGTTTTGCATGGCTGTCTTCTAGCTGATGCTAAAGAAAAGAAGTCATGAATAAATGGTTTGGCTGAAATCCATTCTACAATGGATAATAAAAAGATAGAAAGTATTAATTTGTTTTAAGATGCTTTTCAGATGACACTTAAGTTTAACATCTTCTTGTAGTAAATTGTTAAATTTCCTTAATAATTATTTATTTTGTTAATCTTAAAATTGTTGGATTATAATCTGTATAGATGAAGGGTACAGCTTCCACATTTATAAATTTGGATAAGGATGGAATGAAAGCTCAACACATATCTATTTTTGAGTACATTTTATGAAGAGATGAATAGTAAGAATATATTTATTTTCTAAAGTTGAATTGCATTGTCATATATGATAGCAACATATAATCTGAACATTTTTGGATGCTTAGCATGTCCCTTTGAATAGTCCATATTTATCTAAATTCAAGGACAAGCAGCTGCTCATATTGCCACAAATTAAAATATCTCTCCTGCAATTCAAGAAATAATTGGATTATTTTTTTTGAGAGGCAGAAAATTTGGTTATATTAACATTTGGAGTATAAATTGAAGCAATTATTTTTCTTTGTTCAGTCTGTAATCATCTTTTTCTGAATGGACAGTTAAGGCTGTTGATGCTAGTTGAAAATATCTTTATATGATTCATAATGCCTGATATTAAATTAATTGATGAAGAAAGAACTGCTGTTTGATCTATTTTTGATGCCCAAAAGACTTCTGGGTAGAACAGAATATTTCATCTATATTTAATATTTTTCCTTTAAGACTAGATGTTAAAAGTCTAATATCTCTTTTATTTTTAAATATATCCAGTAGGACATCTGGAAGAATCTCAATTACTGCATTACCAAATTTAAAGGGATTTGAGTTATTATAACTGTGATTATTTAATTCTTATTAAGAAGCCTTGTGGAACTGTCAAAGAGTACCATGATTTTCCTATGTAGTTAGTTTGATATTGGATGTATTGATCTATATACAAAGGATATTTTGAGTATAAAGACAGTTAGAATTTAACTTGTTATTATGTGCTGATGACAGATGCAAAGAATGAATTAAGTAGCTCTGTTTTCTCCCTGCTGCCATCACTTCCTTGCCATATTCTCCCATTTGTAGACCTGGGTTTCTTTAACTGTTATTCTTTTTTATATATTGAAAAAATCTTTTACATTATTTTTGACATTTGTTATAAATCTTGGTTTACTCTGAGCCTTAGCTTTCCTGACTTCATCTTTGCAGTTTTAGGTTATTTGTTCATATTCTTCCTTAGTTATGAGTCCCTCTTTCCATTTTTTAATATTTGTCCTTTTTGTGTTTCAAGGATTAGGGCTATCGGAGAGTTCTTTGTATAACAATGTGGTTTCTTTTTGGATTTCTTATTTTTCTTTTTCAGTGGTATTATGCTGGATTGGACTTTATAATCAAATTTTTCAGAATTTCCCAAGATGTTTGAATTGTTTTCCCTTTTAAGATTTTTCTCGTGGAATCTTTTCCAAGTTTTCTTGAAATCAGACTCTTAGACTTTTTATTAAAGTTTAAGACACTAGTTTAATTTTATTCTATTGATTGTGTTGTATTATACTGAATTCCAATATGGCACAATCACTTTCCCCTAAAGTTCCTGCAACATCAATTTTTGTTAGTAAGAATTAAATCTAATATAGCTGATCCTCTAGTTCCTTCTTCTATCTTTTGAATATCGAAGTTGTCAGCTAGGCTTGTCAGGAACTTGTTTGATCTCCCTTGATGCAGAGTTTGTCTCACAGTTGAAGTCAGAGCAATTAAAGTCCCCTATTGCTATTTGCTTTGTTATTAAATTAATTCTAAATCAAATAATTAATATATATCCAGAATATTATAAGTTTTGAACATTGCAAAAGTTTATGTTTTAATAATAGCTAATTAATCTTATTCTAGTTTATATTTCCAGCGACAGAAGGATTTATTTATACCTTTTTTGGTACAAATGCAAAACAACCAGTAATCCACAATATTATTTAGCAATAGCAATGGCACTTAGACTTACAGTATATACTGCTCCATAGTGCTTTAGCACTCTCTGAATGGTTTACAAACATCAGCACTTTGCCTCCAATAATCTGGGTCCTCATTTGACTGACCTCAGAAGGATGGAAGGCTGAGTCAACCCTAACCACTGCACCACCATCATGGCTGTATTATTTTTCATATATAGTAAGAATATTTAAAACATATGAAATGGATTTATTAATAACAGCTGTTTATAGAGACTGATTGCAGAGTTTTAATCTCATAGGAATTGATAATATCACCTTATAATTTGGGTGTTTGTAAGGCTGATAAATGCCACAGGTGCCATGTTAAAAAATATTGCAGTTGTAAATCCTACCACAAGGTTGCACTTCAAGATGGTATTTTTCTTTTCACATACAAGATTTTCTCTCTCTGTGTGTGTGTTCAAATAAGTTTTTGACCTGGTCACTGCTTGGAACTTTTTTTTGACAAGATTTTTAGGAAGTGATTTGCTATTACCTGCTTTCTACAGCTAAGGGAGAGTGGCTAGCCCAGTATGTCTAAGCAGGGCTGGAATTTACAGTCTACCAATTTCTAGCCTGATATGTTAACTACTATACCAAATTGGCTCTCTTAGAATGTGGCTAATTGAGAATGTTTTAAAATGTTAGTTATCAAGTGCAGAACACTAGTAATAGTGGAAAATATTTAGATTCCTGTTCTCTGGCCATGTTCCATATTGTTCTGACCTAGGCTTCCTTAGAAAGCACAGAACATAATCTTAATCCTGGCAAAACCTCTTTTATTTCCACAGCTGTGTATTACATTCATTCACAAGACTTCACATGCAGTCTTTCAGGGGAATGTTGATAAACATCCACCTTATCAAACTTGGAATGCGGCCAGAGAACTAATTGCCAGACTTGACACAGAGTCAAGCAGGATTTTTCAAAGCTTGTATTTTGAGCAAACGAACTGAATTGCTTCCTGCTCACATCCCATTCACTTCTCTTTTATGTCCTATGGGAGAGGCCAATCATCTCCAAGGTGTGGCCTTACTTCTGAGTTGACCCTGCTTTCTCAATTGTTCTTATCTTCTACTAGCTCTGCCCATGTGCAGGCTGGGAACCGGTTTCATAACCTCCCCTACATCACTGCTGTCCGAACCCGAAGGAAGCTGCTGACTGCCAGCCTGCCCTGGCCCCATCTCTGCCTCTGATGCAGCGCCCTGCTCTGGATCTTCCTCAGCATCCCAACCTGGCCCAGGTTCCTCCCCAACCTCCTCTCTACTGTCCGACTCTGCTGCCAGCTCCGTCAGCTGGCACAACACATATTTGTTGGATGTTGGCTTTTCATTTATAATTTTGTTAATAGTTTTGAGAAAGGAAATAAGATTTAAAACTGTGAATGTGATGTATTAAAAACACTGTTTTATTATGATGAAAAAATATTGTTCTGAATTTAAAAATTGAAAATGTATATTCATTCTCTGTGGCTGTGTATCAGTGTATGCATTGAATTGGGTGTGAAAAACTACATGTAAATTATTGTATTCTTAAATATTACTTTTTTCATAGAGTATATTTTACTTTTTCTTGTAAATTTTCTGTACTCAAGCTCTGTTCTCTCTCTATCTCCTTGCACTGTGTCTGTGTCTGTGTGTTTTATGTATATCATATAAATACCCATTCATCAGAGGTAGTATTCAACAGGTTCTAACCAGTTCTGGGGAACCGGTAGCGGAAATTTTGAGTAATTCGGAATACCACCTCTGACTGGCCCTGCCCTCATCTATTCTCTGCCTCCCTAGTCCCAGATGATTGGTTGGATTTTCTTTTGTTGCCCTGCACAGGAAATGGAGCTGGAAACCAGATTAGTGGGGTGGGGAGAGAATGGGGATTTTACAGTATCCTTTCCCTGGAGTGGGGTAGAAATGGAGATTTTGCAGTATATCCTTCCCTTGGAGTGCAGTGGGAATGGAGATTTTACTGTATCCTTCCCCTGCCAAGCCTGCCAAGCCAAGCCATGTCCACCAAGCCATACCTATAGAACCAGTAGCAAAAAAAATTGAATCCCACCACTGCCATTCATTATTCTTTAAAGAATATTTGCTGAATTAAACATATATACCTTGTCATCATCTTCACAAGTCATCACGTTGGAGAAGGGAATTTCAGCTTTAAACATTTTGCGACAGTGCATCAGCTGAACTAAGAGGTAACAAACAGTCTTGAACTTCATTCTTTTGGCAGGCTTTATGTCAGAGAGAATAAGCCCTGGAAATATCTGGAAAGATATATATACAACAACATCTAATTATTTTTATAAATAATTATTTTTAAGTTAATGTCCAAAATGTATAGAAATTCATGATATACTATCATAACATAAGCAGTAATTTTTCACAGAGCAAACCACTTGACAGCATTATAGCATATCCAACTTAATTCAAATGATTTAGGAAAAGAGATAATAATTGATCCAATAGTATTCAGTATGTTTTCTGGCTAACTGGAGAACTGAATCCAAATAATCAAATAATCAGGAATCAGAAACATTACTTACAGTTTGAAGGAAGTCACCTGCATCAGCTTTTACAGAAAAATGTAAAATTGACTATATAATTAATAATAGCAATTTATGTCACATAAGGCCTATATCAGCAACATAGTATAAATAAGCTTACAATGACCTTCTTAATTGCTTATATATCCTTGTCTTGCTATGTTCACCAAAACCTGTCCTTTCCTCTGAAATCTAACCCCGTATACAAACCAGAGTTTGGAACACAGCTCTCAGATAATATTCATCTCCAACAGCTTTATAATTTCTTTGGACCAAAGTTGAAGATATAGACAGTTGCATTTGATTTTAAGGTAATGCACTGCATGGAGATGTTTATTTCTCCTTTACTGTTTGTTGTCCCCAAAGAAAATATACTGTGAAACTATAATTAGTTCAGAATACAAAAAAGGTGGAATAGCCCTGTTCTGTTTTCTCACTACAATTTTCTTGATCTATATCTGTTCATGTAGAATAAGTATTCATTCTGACATGCATTTGAATTACTTTCTTCATCATTGTTAGGATTTATTTATTTATTTAGAGACAGTTCATGTTGCTATAGAACTATTCATATTGAGAGTGGAAATATTTTCCCATAAACAGTTTAAGTTAATTACAAAATGCAATCACCCATTTGAATTCATTAGCTAAAACATTTAACAGTTAATATACTAGGTTAACATCCTACTCAAGCAGGAGACCTTATACCATTTCAGATACTGTAAATGGCTGCCAATCACTTCTTAAAAGCCTCCAGTAATAGAGCACCCACAATTTCTGAAAGCAAACTGTTCCACTGATTAATTGTTGTCACTGTTTGGAAATTTCTCTTTAGTTCTAGGTTGGATCTCTCTTTTATACATTTCTATCCATTGCTTCTTATCCTGCCTTCAGGCACTTTGTGCAATAAGTTGACCCCCTCTTCTTTGTGGCAGCCCCCTAGATATTGGAAGATTGCTATCATGTCATCCCTAATCTTTCTCTTCAATAGACTAGACATACCAAATTCCTATAACCATTTTTCATATGTTTTACCTCCAGTCCCCTAATCATCTTTGTTTCTCTTCTCTGCACTCAATATCTGTTCTGTATTTTGGAAACCAAAATTGTGGATGCAGTATTCCCAGTGTCACCTTTATAAAGTGGCATTAACATTTCCTCTGATCTTGATTCATGTGTATTTGATTTTGAAATTGAATTTGATTTCTCATTCATCCATCATCTCTCTATCTCTCTCCCTCCCTCCCTCTCTCATCTATCCAGGGATGGGATTTGAACTGGTACGAAATTGATGTTAAGTTTTTATCTGGTTTGCCGAACCAGTGTTTCAACTGACCAGCTGGCCCCTTCATCCCACCCCGCTCCCCCAGGAGTATCCACGTGGCCCATTTTCGATTAAGGTAAATGCAAGGTCTGTGTGGAGGCTCTGGGAGGGGGGAAAACAGGCTTTCCAAAAGTCCAGAAACGGGCCTGTTTCCGGCTTCCAGTGGGCCTCCAGAGCCCCGGGAAGGCCATTTTCGCCCTCCCAGAGGCTCTATCTATCTATCTTAGATAGATAGATAGATAGATAGATAGATAGATAGATAGATAGATAGATAGATAGATAGATAGATAGATAGACAGACAGATAGATAGATAAATAGATATGATAAATCAAAGAAAAAAAGAGTATTTAAAGACAGGTATGATCACAAGAAAATGGGATGATAATACATAATTCAAAACAACTATTGTTTATTCCTATTTTCAAAGTGGTCCTATTCAGCCATGAAAGTGAAAGAAAAACATTGCTGCTCACAGAACTCAAATTCTTACAGGTAATTTCATGTTAATCCTTTTATAACAATGAGATGAGATTCAAGAAATGACAAACTAGTCTTGCCAGTGTTCAGAACTTGAGCCAAAAAATAAATTTAGTAGTTAAAGCTTTTCTTCGATTCTTATACTTTAATAACACCTTGATATTGAAAACTGCACCAGCTACAATTCCATTTAGCGCATATATTTAACATGCAAAGCTTTTTTATTCTGTAAAACTACTTATTTTCTTTTGATTAGTAGCAGCCGCTAAAAGTCCCTTGGCCTGAACTTGCAAACAAAACATACAAAATGTCTAATGAGAGACATGCCATACCACATCTGAATAAAATGATCTGGCTTTTTAGTATTCCATCTTTTTCTAAAATGCATTGCTTATACAATTAATTTTTTTCACTTTTATAGAATTTGGCACACATGAAGCTTGGGAGTACTTATACCAGTAGACTTCCTCTGTTGCAGGTATTTGAGTTTAGACTAAGATTCGGCAATTTAAAAGCTCTGGCAAGTTTTCAAATATTGACCATTTATTTTGTGAGGCAACAAAAACCTGAATTGGTCAATGAGGTGCTTAAAAATTAAAGAATCCTGAAGTATTTTCTTAATAGCTCTAAAAGACTAATGACAAGTTTAAAGATATGTTGACCACCACTTCTAGGGTCCAGCAACTTATTAATCACTGGGCCTCCTGAGGAAACTAGGAAAGGCCTTAGCCATAGGAAACAGGGCTCATAGTATAGATCAATCAACCACTTTATCATAACTCTCAAATTGAATTAATCTCAGACAACATCACAGGACATTGTTCCATTCACCATTTCACAGTCACACACATCTCCCCCACCGCAAGGAGTCAGTACTTTGGTGAACATGAGCAACTTTAGCATCGAGATGTAAAAATGTATCACAATGGCTTGCAAAAAAATTTCTAGTCCATCCTTATTCACCAAGGATTAGACAAAGTTAATGCAACTGCTAGTCAATAATACATCGATGCAGTAAAGATGCAGAAATACTAATGCTTTGGCACTCTTGTCATACAGTATAGACATACACATGAATCTTATTCATGTTCAGTAGTGTGCATTTTGCATCTTCCTTCACTGGTGCTAAAGCTGTTGCTTTTTGTGTGTGTGTGTGTGTGCTTCATCTCTAGAAGCACTTGAGCCAAGGAGACTCTTGAGATTGGCAAACAAAGGATCTCTAGTGCTTGATCAGACTCTTAACAGAACAGCAAGTGTTCTGGGAAAACTGCTCAAAGTGGAATAGAAAGAAAATATTATAACCTTAACAGATATATTCTTTAGAAATACCTCTATGAAGTGATTTGGGAACTATACCTGTTGAATGCATCCTTGCATAGCTCAATATTTGTTCTGAAAGATTAAAACAGCTCTTTGTGTATGGATCATAATAGAACATAGAATACTATGGTTGGAAGGGATATTGGAAGACTTCTAGTTAAATCTCCTGCTTAAGCAGGACATCCTATACCATTCTGGCCAGATGACCGTACAGTATCTTCTTGAAAACCTCTAGTGATGGAGTACCCAAAACTTTTGGAGGTAAGCCACTAATTAATTCTTCTCCCTGACAGGAAATTTCTCAGTTCTAGGTTGGATATCTCTTTAATGAACTTCTTCCTATTACTTATAATAACACCTCAGGTGCTTTGGAGAATAGGTTCATTTCATCTTCTCTGAGAAAGCTCCTCAAGCTCTGAAAGGTTTTGGTGAGCAGTTGTTTGCTAGCTCCTCCAGAACCCTAAGATGTAATCCCTCTGTTCCTGATTATTTGAACTTTTCCAGAATGGACTAATGTTCTCTTACCATTTTCTTGCTTATTTTCACTTGCATTCATCCTATAGTGCTGCTTTTGAGAGGTTGGATTATTTTTTCCTTTTACCTGAAGATATATTCAAAGAATGAATTAAGCATTTCTGCTTTCTCCCTTCTACCTGTCATTTCATCTGTTAGTAAGAATTAATTCCAGTATAGCTGACACTCTAGTTTCCCCTCTACATTTTTAATGAGAAAGTTGTCAGTTAGGCTCATCAGGAACCTGTTTGATTTTCCACTTGCTTTAGAGTTTGTCTCCCAATTGATATTAGATAGTTAAAATCCCTTATTACTTCTGTTATTTTATATGCTATTTTATTGGAAATATATATACAGATACTCATAAAAGAACATTCATCAGCAGTTTCTTTAAAAAGTGGCAGAACCTAGCATTCCTATGACAGGAAGAAAAGTATTCCAGACTTCCCTAGGAAAAAAAGTGAATATTGCTGATAGAAGATTAAATTCTTAGGAAAACAAAACTCTAGTCCGCAGATCAGGCAGTTAATCTAGGTATGTATATAGTCTCCCTGGAGCAAAAATCAAAGATGCACCTAGGTACCTTACTAAAATAATCAACCCCAAGGATTACTACCCCTTTCTTATCCTACATGTGGGAACCAATGACACAACAATGAATCAATAACAAGAAATTGCAAGCATTACCTACATGAAGGGCTCTTGGCAAGGGATGGACTGCACCTCACAAGAACTGGAAACAATATATTCAGAAAATAACTGGCTCATCTTATCAAAAGGTCTTTAAATTAAAATTGAGGGGGGAGGGGGCCAAACTTAATAACTTTTAAACCCTAATTCCAAGCAAAACCCATTAGATAACCAATCGCATAAGGAGGTAGGGAGTAAAGAGAAAAAAAAAATCCCTAATGGGGAAATAGAGAGTGAGGGAAAGGATGGAAATCCCAGTTACAAAATACGAGATCTAAGAAATATACCCAATACCAGTAAAGGACTCAAATGCTTATTCACTAAAGCTCAAAGTTTAGGGAACAAATAGGATGAACTTGAATATTAGTACATGAAGGCAGATATGATATAGTTGCT